TTTATTAGCTGAAGTCATAATTTTCCAACTAGCTAAAAGTCAAATTTATTGACTGAATATAATTCTATTTGATTTATTATAAAAAATATTGCAGGTAATTTGTGATGCAGATCCAGTTGCTGTTAATGAAATAGTTGCTCTGACATCCGTGTTGTCGGTGCTGTTAGCGGTGATGCTGTTAGCACCGATGCTAACAGTGGACGGGAGCTCAGTCTAGTGTTATTCAACTCTATGTTTGCACATATTGAAGGTCGAGTGTTGAAAACTGTTTACAAGAATCTACTGAGCAGACCCGGACCTGGACCTAGTCTGTTACTAGCTGATGCCCTCTTGGATCAACCCTGTAGGAGATAAGTGTTTTTTCAGCTGCACACGCCCTCAGTGTGTGTTTGTGTTTGTGTTTTTGTTGTCAAACCTTGTGGTTSCCCCAGAGCCTGGCCAGGCCGTTAGGGTCCATGATGCGGAAGACTTTGCTGTCTGGATCCTCCCAGCGGATGTAGTTCTCGTACCTGCTGTCCGACAGGAGCTGGTAGACGTAGTCCCACAGCAGCCTGCAGTCTGCAAGGACCCAGCAGCAGAACAAACAACAAATCGGTGAGTGGGCGGAGCTAAAGCAACAACAGGTGAGCACCTCCAGGAGTCTACCTGCTATACGCCCGATGGGCATCTGCTGCTCCTCTGGAGGAGAGACGGGCATGATGACGTGGTTCCTGTAGAGCTCCTCCTGCTGCTGCAGCTGAGCCAGCTGGTGGTGGTGGAGGTGGAGCTTCCCCTCGCGCCCRTTCTCCAGCGCCACCTGAGGCGGGGGCCCGCCGCAGCGGCTGTGCCGGAAGTCCAAGCCGGCGCCCCCGCCGCTCCGGTTCGGGCTGAGGATCAAAGGGTTCATGATGGCGCTGGGCATGAGCTGGATGACGCGAGGAGGGCCGGCTTCCGGGACCCCCGGGCTGCCCGGGCAGGGGGCCTCTTTGGGTGTGATGCAGCGCCCATTGTGGGGCGCTGGCGACACAGAGAGCGGGTACATTTCCTCCGGCAGGTGGTGGTTGCTGTCAGGTAGCTGCGAGAAGCTCTGGAGRGGGTCCTCGTTGGCTCGAGGGTGGTTCTGCTCTGGGGGGGACCGCCTCGGGGTCGGGTTGTGCGGGGAGCGGGAGCGGGAACTGTGACGCAGCTCTATGGTCGGGGCGTGTTGGGGGAGGGGTTCTGTACCACGTGGTGCCCGCCGTACCGTCTCTGGAAGACGAGGAGGATAACGCTTCAGAAAAACTTTAAATCTTTAAACAAATCAAAGAAAAAACAGTGTTGTRTAAAGTACCACAAAGTGATACTTCAGTAAAWGTACAAGTATMTTACCAAAAAAATACTTAGGTAAAAGTTAAAGTCTCCTTTAAGAATATTACTTGAGTAAAAGTCTTAAAGTATGTGATATTTGTTTTAGTTAAGTATTAAAAGTCAAAGTACTGATTTAAAATGAGCAGTTAGATTTTCTGTAAGGACATTTATTAGGAGGTGACCTCCCCAAAAACTGCAGAAATGACTGTTGTATTAAAAGAATGAATGGATGTTAAATTTAGGATGCACTAGTCCAGCTGTTTCAGTTTATATACATATATCAAGGCTGCACAAAGCTTTTCCCCAAAATGAAAATCTATCTGAGGGCTGCGGCCAAATGTAATAATATAATTCATGAAATACAAATACTTCTTAAGTAAAGTCCTTTTATTTGAATGATTCTGTCCTGCTGGAGTGTGACATGATTTGTTTGTGTACAAACTAATACACTATCAGAGTTTTATATATTTATACTTCTCATTCAACCACAGTTAAATTCACTCTATCTAGGAGGCTCAGTTTATATGGATAGTTTTTATTTTTTACAATAACAAGCTGCAATGAAAACAAGCAAAAATTAAAAGTAACAACTTTATACTTCTTGTATTTTTTAAAAATATAAGGAGTAGAAGTAAAAAGTAGGCTGAAAAATAATTACTCAAGTAAAGTACAGATACAGTACCCAAAAATTCTACTTAAGTACAGTAAAGAAGTATTTGTACTTAGTTACTTTACARCTCTGAGAAAAACWGAGTTTTCTGAGCTGTAAACAGTTTTAATATTCATGGARCAGCAGCTCTGCATGAAACTCACCACCAGGTGTCGCTCTGAGCCCACAGTCAGGATTTACTAACAAATACTCTGCATCACATAAAACAGGTGGATTTAATAAACAAGACTTGTTATTTTTATTTTCAGAAGCTTGAACCTTTCTCTGAAGAGGAGGAGTTTATAAAAAGTTTACACTTTCAACAAAGAATGAAGCCTGAATCATCCGCTCCGCTCCGCAGCTCATATCGTTTAAATAAAGCAACATTTCCTCGTGGGGCCGGTTCTACCGTCAACACCTGCTGTCCGAGCTGAAGCTACATCCTGAGTGACTGTTGTTCAAACCGGAGATAAGTTCTCTCACTCATGGTTCAAACCGCTTCACGCACGTTTGGCACCGACYCGCTCAAAACCACAAATAACAGACGTTCGGTCGTCGCCAACGAMCCCTCGGCTTAAACTAGACCGACTGAAGCAGCAGCTGAAATGCTGCATGAGCGCTGAAACAGCTAAAACTGCRTGGAGAAGCTGAGAGAGGAGCAGAAAACCAACTAAAAGCTAAATGAAGCCAAAACAAGCTAAARCTAAAAGGATTGAAACATTAAATAGGAGAAACAAATGGCAACTTAAAAGCTAACAGTAACAAAATACAAGCTGAAAGCAGCTGAAGGCTAGCTTCAATGAAGCAAAAGCTTAACAAATAGCACAATGCTAGCTAAAAGCATTAAACAGCTAGCCGAAGCAAAAGTATGAGATATAGCTTAAAGTAGCAATCATGTATCAGAATGATAGCTACAAGAAGCAGCAAATGGTAGCTAAAAGTAGCAAAGACAAGCTAAAAGACAAAAGAAAATTTAAAGTTTGCAATAATCTGTGTAAAATTTAAAAGTAGTTAAATCATAGCTAAAAGCTAGGATGCTAGCCAAAACAAGCAAAAAGCTGTGTAAAAGTCTTAAAATGTTACAATCATAGCTAAAGCTAACAGCAACAAAATACAAGCTGAAAACAGCTGACTGCTAGCTTCAATGAAGCACTTAACAAATAGCATAATGCTATSTAAAAGCATCAAACTGCTAGCTGAAGCCAAAAGTATGAGAAATATAGCTAAAAGTAGCAAAATGCTATGTAAAAGCTGCAAATATCAGAATGATAGCTACAARAAGCAGCAGRTTGTAGCTAAAAGTAGCAAAGACAAGCTAAAAGACAAAAGAAAATATCAAGTTTTCAAAAAGCTGAGTAAAAGCTAAAGTAGTGTAATCATAGCTAAAAGCTAGGAGTAGCAGAATGCTAGCCAAAACAAGCAAAAAGCTGTGTAAAAGCTTAAAAATTGTRGAATCATAGCTGAAAGCTGAGAGTGGCAGAATGCTAGCTAAGTAGCTACAAGTAGCAAAAGGAAACCTAAAAGCAGTTGAATGCTAGCTAARCAGAAGCAAAAAGCTATTTAAAAGCTTAGCAGAATGCAAGCTAAAAGTAGCAAAGCTTTAACCTAGCCTAGCTAAAACTAGTGAATATTCTGATGCTAGAGAAAATTAGCTATTGTTCAKTTCACATTAGCATCTAGCTACTTCTAGGCTAGCTTAAGTTTTGACCTTCCTGTGAATTCAGCTAAATTAAGTTTCTAAAAATAGTTCAATAAACTTTTTATTGTGAAKAATTAGTACATTTAATAAGCATAGATGCTAAGTTAACTTTGAGACATTTAATCTTAATTTAATCTGAGTTTACCAGCTAACTGATATAAGGTTTGTCATTTAAAGATGTTTATATTGAGTTCTTTAGGCTTCATCTTAAGGAGCTCATGCTAACGAGATGCCAGAGGAGTAAATGTTTGCAGGTGGACGCAGGACGACTGACCTTCCAGCTTCAGGTGCTGCACCGTGCTTTCAGGCAGCGAGTGGAAGGAGTTCCCGGGGAAGTAAGGCGAGGTGCAGAAGACGCTGGACTTCCTCTGCTTCAGTATGTGCTGCAGCAGCTCGTACAGGACATCCCCTGCAGACAAGCAGAGGTCAGAGGTCAAAACRCAGCTCCTGGTGACCTKTTTCTGCCTGCAGGACAAGAGACACCAGCTCTGTTGTCACTCATAACATCCGCTGCCTTTTCTCCTCGCTGCTTCAGTCAGGATAGTAAAGCTGAAAACACAAAGTACTGACAACTATCAGCTCTTCTCTTTATCAGCTGGTTTTCTCTGCACCAACTGGCTTTTATTTTGAAAGTTCTGAAGTTAAACCAAAAAAACAACCAAACAATAAAAGCAGAAAACAACCTGTTGAACCCAAGAGTTGGTGATCCTGCTTAGTTACACAACAGGAATGATAAAGTCGCAGCAGGAAGTTGATTGAATGATTTACGACACACACACACACACACACACACACACACACACACA